TGAAGCTCAAGGTCTGAACTTGCTTCTCCAATAGCATGCTGACTGAGTTTAAAGTGTTTCATGAGAGAATTAAAAAGATCGGTTTCATTCTTAGACTTGGCAATGTTTGCGTAAGCTTTGGCCATTATGATCTGGTCCTGCATGAGTTTCAAGGTTGAATCAGAATTTGGGCTTTCATAATCACTCCTCCATATACTGTACTTTCCCTTGACTAGGGGGTCAAAGTCATTTGATCGTTCAATTGCTGCGGCAGCCATCTGGTTATTAGCTTCTGTATCTTTTCCTATCAACTCTGCGGTCCGAAGATTCCTCCTTTCTTGCCGCATTACCTAATGGGCCAGGAAAACGTTCAGAATTCAAACCCAACTGAACAAAATGAATAGAGTGAAGTAAAACAAGAAGCATTTGACAATTCACCCGACGCTTGAGCTTCACTGGGCTCATTGATGATAGACGAGGATATGGGAGTTCACCTTCTCCAGATTGATGATCATCTGTAGGATGCTGAGTCTTTTCTTCAAATATCATTCCAGATTGAGATGAATCCTCCACCATCTGGAAAGTAGCATTAACTAAGTTAATTTCCTATCATGTTTCTATCACAACTCCAATCCAGTTCAACTAAGAGCCTGTGACAAACAGATACGTAGAAGTTGTGAAATTTCAATCTATGCGACCTTCATTTCCTTCAGCTATGATTAGAAACTGAATATTCAATACCTGAAAACTCTTTGGATGTTCCTGCTTTCCATCAATAGGATTTTCCAAGACCCAGGAAGCAGATAGGTCCCCCATTCTAACCCTACTACTTTGCACGGCTCCAAGATTGTTGCTGTATGTTGCAATTATGTCAATATTCTGTTCAGGATGGGATAAAAGACATAAGTACCAATGGCATATACTCCAAACATAAAGAAAAAGTACCCGTTATCAATTACCTTTTCATCTGGAACAGTGCTGGCTCCAATAACAGAAGATGCACCCTCTCCCTGCTCAGCCAGCATATAGTAAAGATTTGGCAATATGAGATGTTTACATAGCCACTTCAATTGACGATAAAGATAAACATATGAATGAAGGGTTTGTGGGTGTCAGTCACAGATACGTATCACTTCAGCGATCAATCTACTCTACTCTACCAATCATATGAATTCTACCAGTCATTCTATAACACTTCAGTGATCAATCTATCTCTCATATAGCAACCCAGTATGGTAACTTAAACGATTGTAGATCAAATACAATTCCTTTGGAAATATCCTTCCGTGTAATGTATTTTCCTAGATCATCAAGAAAATGACAAAGGATAACTTTTCTCATAAAATAAATATCTAGTAATCTATATAACTAACTCCGAGAACAGCTATGCAGAAACTATAATTCCCAACTTAGGTTCCATTTCGTTGTCCTTTTCTAAATGGCCCCAAATCTTTCCAAACTAAGAACTCTCTCAATAAATAAAAAAATATAACACAACTGGATGCAAGGCCATGAAAGCAAAACGAACATAGGCGACTAAACCTGTGTGTTTCCTACAGGCTGGTACAACTAAACTAGCATCACCACAAATGCATAGTTGCTAAATTAACATTAAATGAGGAAAGACGGGATACAAACCTTGCTATCTCGACATTGCTCGCAATCACAGAGCGATCGGTATTTACTGATATCTCTTTGTCTGAATTAAAATCACCAACAATAATTAAAACAATAAGAGAAAAAAAATTGGAACAAAAACAACAGAAGCAATTCCGTAAAACCAAGAACAAAGCGGGACATACCGCGTTGTAGCATCAGATACAGCTGCTCCAACTAGGTCACAGTGGAAGGCAACCTGAATTAATTGATTCATCAAAAGCAGAACTTAATACCGAATCTGAAATAAATTGATGCATAACCAGAAACTGCTCAAATAAGTGAATGATCTAACGGTATAACACTAATCACTAAACCGAGATTAGCACTAATCAGTCAATCAGAGAATGCAGCAGAATCTGACCTATCCGTCTCGACTAATACAATTAGATGAATAATTAGCGGATTATATGCATAATAAAGAGGGATCTACGACGGTAAGTTATGGAGATCGATCCGCCATAGGAACAAAAAACCCTAGAAAATCACAGAGAGAGTAAACTTGTTACCAATGAGATGCAGAGGATAAGCAGAGAAGCGAAGCTAGCCGACGTTCTCGGAAGAACTTCCATTGCCGACGTACAGACAGAGAGACAGATGGACAGAAAGAGAGAGATCGTCGTCTCTATTTCTGAATTCCCATTCACTCGACGACATGCCGTCCTGCTCCTTTTTTAATTTGATGTTTTCGCCGATTTACCCTTTTAGTTTTTAAATATTTTTTAGGCAATTATACCTCTTAATTTTAATTTTTATAGTCGTCACGTGTATAGTTCCTGAGCTATAATTTGAGTTAGATATTTAAATTTATAGGCATAAACAAACTTAGTGGTTCAAAAATACAGATGTCTAACTTTTAAAATTTTGAGATTAAACATTCATGTCTTTTAAAACTTTGATTAAACATTTTCCTGGAATTTATGTATGACATGCATCAGAAGTAGCCTTTTTTTATAATGTAAAATTACCCAACTTGCCATTATATAAATATACATTTTAATTCCTAAATAATACATCAAAACTCCTAAAATCTTGTAGATAAATATTGTAGAATTTAATTTCAATAAAAAGTCTTTCAAATTACACATGAACGTGACTTGCCATTATATTTAATATACCTTTTAATTCTTAAATACTATATATAAACTCCTAAGATCTTGTAGATAAATATTGTAGTAATCAATTTCAATAAAAACTATTTCAAATGACACATGAAACGTATATTTCTTCTTGGTACATATTTGATACGTTACTTAATATATCTTCTTGGTACATATTTGGTATGTTTGTATCTGCATTTGGTACGTTTATATATCTTTTTGGTACATTTATATTTATTTTAAAAAAAAAATATGGTACATATATTTCTTCATGATACGTATTTGGTACGTTACTTTTATATATCTTCTTGGTACGTATTTTATACGTTTGTATTTCTTTTTCGTATATATTTGGTACATTTATATATTTTTGGTATGTTTATATTTATTTAAAAAAACATATTTAGTATGTTACATTATATATCTTCTTGGTACGTATTTGGTACATTTATATTTATTTTCAACGAAAAAAAAATATCAAAGAATAAACTGAAAGATACAATGAAGAACAGATTTTTGTATACTCCTAATCCTTGTGGGATATGAACTAATATACAAGACATACACAAATTACAATTCAATATAAGTCTCGAACTCCTTATCCATAGTGGACTAAACAGCAACAACAATATCACAGCAAGATTATACTGTAGCAGCAAGCATAGTTGATCCAGGCTTCTTTGGTTTATCACAAACAACTCGGCAATTTTTGGTCGTTTGACTTTCTCCAATTTTTTTGCCATTTTTTCATTTTTCTTTTTCCAACGTTCCAACGCCAGGAGGGATCCAAATAGACACAAAACCTGAAAATTAATGGGATACATATCATCTTTATCTTTGAATTTCAAAATTCAAAAAATTGCCGAATAAAAAACCCTCTCCACAAATTAAAATTTGCAAATGATCATAGCTTTAGCAGGCAAAGAACATAGCTTTTCTTTATGAATTAATAATTTAGAGCAATTTTGTATTTACATAAACTACTAAAAGACTAAGAAGATGGATCAATGTACCAACCTCTTGATAAAACCTGAAGCAGTAAAGAATATTGATGAAACCTGCTCAACGTACCAACATTAAGCCACTGAAAACTGAGAGTAAATAGCAGAACGTACCAGCATTATGCTGCCGAAAACTAAGAGTAAATAGTAGATTACATATACGTCTAATTATCTCAAATGATAACAAGATAAAATTGTGAAAACAACCATTAATTGAATTGGATAAACCCATTCAAGATTCAAAAATGGAAGATCACAAAATCAAACATGGAAGAGAAATCCAGGTTCTCATCAAATTCAACAAACCAGAAACTACTTCCTAAAATAAAGGTCACGTACAAAGAAATATCAGCCTAAAAGAATATATTTGGAATTCAATAATTAGCATTTTAATTTAAAAAAAAATACAATAATGTCATGTAATTTAAGTAAATGTAAAAATGCTGATGTGGCTATTGTTTAAGGTGGCTATTGTTTAAGGCAGCTTAATCAAATCTTAAAATTGAACCAATGTTTAATCTAAAAGTATTAAAAAATGCGGGAATTCTAATTTAGACATTTCTTATTTATAGTTCAAGTTGTACAATATTACGACTCGTTTAAAGTGGGACAGCATGTCACGAAATGATTAAAAATGGGACAGCTTCTAGCCTGAAGATGAGCCATATGATGAGTAGAACAAGCACCGATGTTAAAAATTTGAGCCTTACCAACAATTGGTTTATTAGGAGTCCTCAAATTCCATAAGTTACATATAATTACACGTGGGAACATATTCGGAAATAATATAATCATATGTATCACGTTGTCACATGTGATTGACTAGCTGAATGATTCATCTTGACCAAGCCAAATTCAGATATCTTGACAGTATACAACTGCACTACAAGATATGAAGGATTTGAAGGATTGTGCGTGCCATTTTACTAATAAATTGAATCAAGTTAAAAAAAAAACATATAATTGATTGGGCACTAAATGCACGGGCACGAAATGAACATCATATGTGTACTAATGGGGTACAAAATGTAATCGCGTGACAATGTTTCAGATAACTAACTAATATCTAGTCTAAATCATAAAGTGAGAGAATTTATTTAAGTAGCAAATATCATTTGTGTGTTGTGCATGGCGCACTTAAAACGAACTGTACTCATGTTATATTTGTGTTGACTTCGCCCATTGTACACCTCGAATTATGAGCTAGTCCGTACGTTTACACTTATTTTAAATGCATAACTCAAAGTAACATTCTAATAACAACTAGTGTAAACATCACTATTGTTAAATTAATGTAACGTCTCTATATTTTACATGATTTGTACTGATGTTGCTGTAATACCAACATTTCAAATTTAAACTACAAAAGGTAAACTGACAGTAATATATTTTGTCCTTGAACCTTTAAACTTGACAACAAAATGGAAGGGTAAATTTCCCTTCCAGAAAATGACAACTAATTACTCTGCTTACAAGTTTTGAAGCTTAATCACCGAAGCTAAACAATAATTACAGTGTCACTGCTAACAGAACACACCCAGTTTAACACAACAATAAGCTTAATCTAACCTCCCAGGAGATACATAAATGAACAAATCGAAACTTTTTGACACAATATTTCCTGACAGCAGTCGTGCTAGAGTTACTTCAGTCGAACCTGGTGTGACTGTTGGTAGCTTTGAGATCCGTCTTGCCTGGGGTGAAGTGGAGAGCGATGATGCAACGGCTTCTGGCCTTGTCGATGAGTCATAGGATGAGTAGAACGAGGCCTTGGTTCCCTTGTAAGTTCATTAGCCGATTCTATCCGTTCCAATGTCTCCACGACATCTTTCATTGATGGCCGGTTTCTGTGTTCAGATTCGATGCATTTTAGAGAAAGAAGAGAAATTCGAAAGGCAGCTTTGGAAGGATATCTTCCCTGCAGCTGGGGATCCATAATGCTTTTCAGTTTTCTTTTGTCTGAAAGAAATGGTTTTATCCAGTCTACTAAGTTCTGTTTTCCACTTGGACGATGTGTATCAAGGGCCCTCAAGCCGGTCAATATCTCGATCAAAACAACACCAAAACCATACACGTCGCTTTTCACATACAGATGACCTGTAAAATTAAACATGGCACTAGGAATGTCATGGCTCGAACTTGAATTTTGTAATTGGCCTAAATCTTTGCCAATCCAGCATCAAAAAGTTGACCCTTTCCACCAATTGGTGTTAGGATCCCACAAATTCCATAAGTTACGTAGAATTACCTGTGGCAACATACTCAGGAGCAGCATAACCATATGTACCCATAACCCGTGTTGTCACGTGCGATTGACTTGCTGAAGGACCCATTTTCGCCAAGCCAAAGTCAGATATCTTGGCAGTGTATGACTGCAGTACAACAAAAAGTAAAAAATAAGTCTAATTTGTCTCTCTTTTTTTTTTCAAGCAACAACTTTTGAATTAGAAATGATTTCAACAATATGGTGGATAAAAATGAGTATGTGGCATGGGTAAGGTTTGAACATATGAAAAAAGATCTCTTGAGCAATCGGAGAAGCACTTCGATGGTAAGAAAATGAAACGTATAAGCGTTTCTTAGCTTAATTCTTGATAACTGTTCATAAATCAAATAGAATTTTACCCCGTCAAGAAGTATATTTGAAGCTTTGAAATCTCTATAGATAACTTGCTTCTCTGATGTATGCAAGAATTCCAGGCCTCGAGCAGCTCCTATTGCAACTTTAATCCGTGTATCCCATGGAAGTGGCTGAACAGCCGATCCCCCTGCAAAAGTAGAAAACATGAAGTGTAAGGTGAAGAACGAACTTGCTATATTTGTAAACTAAACACCTTATGCCTGCACACAGGAAGATGCGCATGTATAACTTGTAATGTTTGAAACTTATTTATGCTTCTTTACTTACTTCCAAATAGATGGTTTTCCAAGCTACCCTTTGACATGAACTCATAAACAAGAAGCAGCTCCTTATCCTCCCAACAGTATCCAAGTAGCTTTACAAGATTAGGATGAGATAGTCGCCCTAAGAAATTCACCTCTGACTGCACCGGCAAAGAACACTCGGATAAGGATACAATGCGTTAACTAAATTGACTTGACAGTTGACACACACTGCTTTATACTCCCAGAAGACGGATAAAACAGGCCAGAAGTCTGCCAAGGGCTAATATTTATGTGTGTGCGCAATGCATGCCAAGAATGCAGGAAAGAGATTATGGCTTGAGTTGAGGGGTGTTTGGCAAAATGATGTCGCTCGACTTAGCCTTTTTTTTATTCAAACTAGAATCCACAATATCACCTAATCAAATTTGAAGAAACTGCATATCGTGGCATTGCTTTATCATCTACAGAACTCTATATCTCCCTTAAATTGTTGTGGACTCAGGGCACCAGCTGCATTAACCAATCGGCACTCTGCCCTCCGAAAGGTCAGTGGATACCACAGTGATTGTAGCTACAAAAATTGTTATTTACAGTTTAATTTTGGTAAAGGATCAGTATTTTACTTTACTCTTTCGATTAGCATATCTAATCAGAACTGCAACCCTTAAGATCTCATTTCCTTGAACAAGTGCTAATACAAAACAATTAAGCACCACCAATTCCCTCAAGTGCAGCTAATTTACCTGCCATTCCTCAAATCCTTGCAAGCTCTCAGAACTCAATTTTTTCACCGCGATAACTGTTGATTTTCCTGACTTGGCCGGCGCCTTGTCCTCGAGCCAGCCTTTGAAGACCATCCCAAAACCTCCTTCACCAAGCACTGTATCTGGTCTGAAGTTTCTGGTTGCAACTTTCAACTCCAAATAACTGAAGATCCTCAAGTTTGGGGTGGGTAAGATCTGCCCATGTGCACTGGCCTCCTCGCCGCTTGCAGCGGAGAACTGGCTATTCCGGGATACAGTACACTCCCCTGAAGATGTGTTATTACTGGTTGTCCGAGATAAGTTGCTGATGTTATTACTGGTTGTCTGAGATAAGTTGCTGATATTCTTACTGGTTGTCTGAGATAAGTTGCTGACCACTGAAGAAGTAGCACAAAGTCAGAAAATAACATTCAAATTAAAACCCATGGATTTTTCATTTTTCCCATTTGACATGCAGCAAGAACATCAGCTTTTCCTAGAAATCCAACAAATTCCAGCAGGAACCAATTATAGTTACTTGAAATCCAGTAGCCACAATATTCATGATTTAGTAATTACTGGTCAATGGCACAGGTTAGAAACATAATTGGCAGCTCAATTAATGATGGGCGTTGCTCAAAATCAAATACAACAAAAACCCAAATCAAAAGTTGAAAAATTTATGAAATCTAGTGAAAGAAAACAACAAAATATAAAAAAAGTAATTGTGGGTTTTACCTATACTGAGATCACCGGTAGTTACTGGTGTTGGGTTTTCAACTGGAGAACCGCAACAATTCCCCATCTTCTTCTTCTTCTTCTTCTTCTTCTTCTTCTTCTTCTTCTTCTTCTTCTTCCTCCTTTCTACCTCCTCTAAGCTTCAACCACTAAAATGATATTTCTCTCTCCTCCCTCTCTCTCTCACTCTCTTCTCTCTCTCTCTCTCTCTCTCTCTCTCTCTCTCTCTCTCCAGTTTCCCAGAAGAAGAAAAAAAGGCTACTCGTGGATTCTACCTCCTGAAAGCTTCAACCACTAAAATGATATTTCTCTCTCCTCCCTCTCTCTCTCCAGTTTCCCAGACTTCCTGAAAGCTTCAACCACTAAAACGATGTTTCTCTCTCCTCGCTCCCTCTCTCTCTCTCTCTCCAGTTTCCCAGAAGAAGAAAAAAAGGCTACTCTTGGATTATACCTCCTGAAAGCTTCAACCACTAAAATGATATCTCTCTCCTCTCTCTCTCTCTCTCCCCACTTACCCACAGAAGGAAGAAAAAAAAAGGCTATGACTTTGTTATGGCTGTGGTTTTTGTGAGCCAATTAAGCATAAAAGAAAAAGCGAGTAAAGACTGAGTCTTTACAAAGGAAGAAGGTGAAGAGCTTGTTGGCGGGTAATGCAGAATTTCCAGACTGTCTTATTCCAAGTCAAGTCAACGGCCGGAATTATTTGTAAAGGGGGAGGCAGATTGTCTGCCCTCTCTTACCGTACTCCTCTTATTCATTTTTACTTGTACGATCGTAATTAAGTTATGTTAATATTTTATATTCTTATTACTTTTTATCTTATTATTTATATTAAAAAATTAATATAAAATAGGAGTTTTTTGAAATAGATCCAAAGTAACTAAAAATTGGACCTATTTCAAAAATCAAAAATCACTAAAAATTGAACTTATTTTAAAAAATAGTTTATAAAATTAGACTTATTTCAAATTTTTCCTATAAAATATTAATAAAACCTAGTCGTAACCGTAAAAATAAAAAAGAATGAAAAGGGGCAGACACTCAGCTTCCATTTGTAAGTCAGTTTGGTCAGCACACAGAATTTCAATTCAATGCAAACAACTAAAGCGCGCAATAAACTAATAAATTTAAGAGCCAGGCTGTTATTGTTTTTTTTTTTTTTTTTTTTTTAGAATTTTAACGAAAAGCTCACAGTATTATTTATTTTTAAAAAAAATTATATTTTTACATTAAAAAGTTAATTCTGGTACTATTCACTTTACCCTTTATTTTGTCATTATCATTAAAACTTAAAGTTTTCAAACTCTTTTCATTAGTTTTTTTTTTTTTTTAAAGGGTTTGACATAAGCTTCATCATAGCAATTTATTCTTTCAAAAGTCGGGAAAACTCACAAAAATATTTTAGCCTTCTTTAATTATCATTGTATGATTTACCAATTCTAAAAAATGAACGTAAAACGTGTTGTGCAGAATACAAATCTAAAATTCGTCTCTAATTATCGAATCTCTTTGTGATGGTTACGTTGTTATTGTTGGATAGTAAGTTGTCCCGAGCAAAAGAAAGTCTTTCTCTTCTACCTTCAAATTATTATTTTATTAGTGTGGGAACCAGACAAGTTTTGTCATCGGTTTCCAATTTGCCACCTGAAAATGAAATTTGTAAGCCAAATTTAATTAAAGTTTTGTTAAAGATTTATAATTGTGCTCCTTGACGTTGACGTCGTGTTTGTTAAGAATTGGGGGAATGACTAAAGCGTTTTTGTTTTTTTTTTTTTTTTTAAAGAATTATGATACATTTAACAGAAAAATTTATATATGTTTTTCGAGTTTTAAAGTGTTTTTTAGAGAAACACATAATATTTTGTTTTTTATGAAACATTTTGATTTCAATAAGAGTTTCCCAAGCGAGTTGAGTTTATCATTATGCTTAGAAATTTAGTGTATATTCTGCACTAGATTCTTAAAAAAAAAAGTGTTTATCGATATTTTCGCCATTAGAGTACCCTTCAAAGAGGTCATCAACAGAACACCATAATTTTTGGAACAAAAATGGTAAATGGAGTTAGACTAGATGACACATTGCAACCCCATTGACAATGTCTTTGGGATGTGACGGATGGGGTAGTGTTGGTCCTGAAAACTAGAGTTTGTGTTGTTGTTTCATTGAAGCACAATAATTCCAGGCAAACATAAAGGTGATAAGGGTTTGCAAAATGTAAGTTGGGTCAATACATTAGCTAATTGAGTATTTGACTAGGCACCGAATATTTGAATTGATCCAAATAGAAGCCAAATCTTGTTAGCCATTTAACTTAGACAACTTTTTCCGAAAAGAAAGGATTACTCATCTTTTGATTTTAGTCTAAAGAGATTGAAAAACCAACCAATTTTTTATATTATTAATGAAAATTTGGTCTACGCGTTTAAAAATTATGTGATGTTAGTAAGGGTTTGCAACATATTAACAACTCGCAATCATTCAAATGCGTGTGTAAAGGGACTCGACATGGCCTCCAAGGTGCCAGCTGCTTGTCACACCATTAATTGTTATGCTTAGATTGAGCAATTGAGTTAGAAACATCGTGCCATTGTTGACCAGGTCCCTTCCAAGAGCATAAGGACAGCACTACCTCTCCCTCTCTCTCTCTCTCTCTCTCTCTCTCTCTCTCTCATGGTCATGGGTCATCCACTGCCTCAGGTCAAGACATTTTGTTCCCAAAGTCAAACCTGTGGCCGACTTTTAAATAACAAGACAATTTCACAAGGGTACGAGTCACGACCAAAACTGAATTCAATTCCATTAGAAGAAAATGTGTACCCACACTATCTAGATCGTTCACATGTCCACTAAAAAAACTAAGGGCAAAGGGATAATGTTCTTGACGTATCCGTCTTTACATTTCAGACACTTTTATTAATTTACGTTATTGATTTTTTTTTAATTCATTTGATTCGACAAATGATATTGAGAAAATATGTAAGAGGTAAAAGTGTTTGGATAATACCATCCAAAGTAACAAAAGGATAACAATGAAACAAAAGCTCGAATCTCTACCTGTAATTTCACATTAACATCATAAGATAAAGAGTTTGTAACTTAGTTAAAAGTATTTATTAGTTTACTAAACGCCTCAAGTTCGATTTCTGCTATTGTAATATTGCTTGCAATAATAATACTTTGTTGTTATGATCCTCTTCAACCAATGTGCGCACTGCTTGCAGGGGTGCAAGAGTCTTTTCAAGCTTAAATAAGTGTTAAATTTACTTTAATGGCAGGCATATTCACAATTATAAATGGGGTGCACATAGGAGTTCTACTTCGGACGCTACGTATCATTAAATATTACGAGTATTGAATGACTTGAATTCAAAAAACTATATTAACGCAATAATTCAAACCAATTTAGATCATTTAATGCTACTCTATAAATACTAAGTAACATAAAAAAAAATTTCTACACGCTAATCGAAATTCCACAAAATTTAAATGAAATATTCAATTTCAAACCGATAAAAAGAACAACCTGATAAAGAATTTTTTGAAAAGTAACTGTGTAATACATTAAAAAATAAGAATGTGCCCACTGCCCACGGTAAGAGAAGTTGTCCATCATCACTCTCCCATCTAAAAGAAATTGTCTCATCATCCCATTTTTCATAACTGGATATTTTTTTTAAATTAAAAATTAATTATACCCCTTAAGAAAAAATAAATAAAATATAAAATAAAAAGCAATGCTTTCACCAACTTTGATAAATTAAATTTGCAAATCATATAATGTGTCATCAATTTCATATAATAAGACATCAATTAAAACAAAAATCAATCATGTCTTCCAAATCTGACGCTTATAAACACATCATTGAATAATCTCAATCAAACTTTTTTTTATACAAACTATGTTCTACTGTAATTTACATAAACCCGAGAAACAGTGAGTTATAGCTAAAATCCCCTAACCACCAGGACAATTTCACCGCTTACAATCTCAAGCAAACTTTATTTCTCCAGGCTAATAACAAAAATTCCAAATGTGTGAAATAACAATATTATCATCAGAGATTACACTCCTTGCAGGATTACACAAGGATTTTCTAAGTTTAAGAATAGTCAGTACATCATCTTCAGACAAACATCCTAAACCCTGCCTACATCATGGTTTCTTTCTAACCTCACAAATCAAACTTTTTCTTTTACTTTTGCCCCCGAACAATTAGCATTAGGATACATTAATACTGTACAAGAACAATCTACCCCTTTACATTACAGTCGAGGGGGGATGCGCTCGACGACGCAGAGAGACCACCTACGGTCTCATCGCTAGAAGGAGCAACTTGAATCACTCACCATTCTATTGGTTAACTTAATCGAAGGAGAATCGTAATGGGGGAGGAAAAAAATGGATTAATCTCACAGCTGCAATGCTAAATCCGGCTGCGCTGAATCAGCCCGGCTAGAACTAGGGGACCCTGGGGACTGGAACCTGACATTCAGGTCTGGTGGAACTGAGTCGGGCTTTTGTTGTGGCGTCAATGCTGAATTGGGTTTCTGCTGTTGTGACAACCCTTGCCAAGATGGCCGAGGAAGAGTCCCCATTGTCCGTGCTGCCGTTGCCTCATTCACTGAATTTGGAAATGAACTGGAAGAGCTTATTATACCTGGAGTTTTGGAGAGTTTAGTTTCTTCTGAAGTTAAGCTGTTTGAAGTAGCTGGATGGAAGTTAGCGTTAGTCCTAGAGACTGCGTCGAGCATTTGAGATGGCTGGAAGTTAAAACCACCGGGCCTGGCCACTCCAACTGGCTTTCCCATCTGAGCACGAATGTTTAATCCGTATGTGCCGTTAAATCCGTTGATCCCAGGTTGGAATACGGAATTCTGATGCATCTGAAATGGAGGCCTCGGTCTCATTACACCAAGATTGCTGCTCGGCATATTAAACCCAGTATGAGCGTTTGATCCTTCAGCAGTTTCTACTTTTCCAGGGAGGGGTTCAGGAGATTTATTAGCAACAATGGGGGGTGATGAGGTAGTAGCAGACAGAGGAAGAGGACTGCTTGTATTTGCTGAAGGAATAGAAGGCACATGCTTCTCTGACGAGTTATGTCCCGATGGCTTCTCTGACAATTTATCTCCATTAGACTCAACAGAGCATGATGTTGCAGCAGAAGATGCATTTGGACGAATAGGAAAGGGCTCTGATGAAGGTGGCTGACCTAGTGAGGCTGCGGCTAATTGCAGTGGCCTATTTGGCGCAACGTCATTTTCTCCAATCCACCCTGGGCCAAACTTAACACCAGGGGGTAAAGACCTTTCAATCTTTTTTGCAGCAATGTTCCACGCAACAGGTCCATGATTTGCAGCAAATCGAGCCAGGCTCCTTGCATAACCATAGTCCGAGTGAAGCCCTACCTGATTCACATAAAAGACAAGTCAGCAAACCACACAAATTTAAATCCATACAAAAGACAAGTCAGAGACCACACAAATTTAAATCCACACAAAAGACAAGTCAGCAGACCACACAAATCAAAATCCACACAACTGACAAGTCAGCAGACCACATAATATCATCCATCAAAAGGCAGGAAGCAGGATGTGCTGGGGTGTGTAAAACCACCGCAATGAAAATCTCTCACAGGGCATCAAAAAAATCCAAACCTACCACATGGTTTAATTGTATGTAATATAGAGTTAAATATCCTTTTTCCTTTAGTATGGGTTTTCCACTTAAATTAACACCCCAGACGGGTCATGACCATCCACTAGCAAATAAGTATAACCCCTAAAACATATCTAAGACACCAATATACACAGTTCTTATACAAGTTGTGGCAAAATTCAGGCACCAACTAAAGTATGAACTCAGAGAAATGCATAAAGTTATATACGTACAGCCATTAGCTGTTTCCTTTCTCCGTCGAATGTAGTCAATACAGATGACTCTTGTCCACTGGCTGAAGGATGAGATTGATTATATGTATTACGCCTGTTCTCATCAAACACAAAATGTTTTTTCCCTAGCTTCGAATTAGCCTTCGTGGAACCTGAAATAATTGCAGATTTAAGATCAATATTAATCAATGACCCACCAAGCCTATTAAATGAACAAGTAATACCAGAATTGATGCACATAAAAGCATATCAAACCTGTGACGTCATCATTCCTCTCAAACTTGTTATCCGTCAACCAATTAGTATAAACATCATTATTCCGTGAACCTGTCAAACCAGACTTGTCTGAAAGATGAGATCCTTTTTTATGATCCAATGTGGCATTTTCAGCCCCAGTAGCAAGAGTGGCATTTGAGAACTCTGAACCAGCACGGTCCAAGGAAGGCCTGCCCAGTTTTTTATGCAAATTTTTTGTTGGAGGTCTACCTCTTCTAACGACCTTTGGTCCTGATTCATTATCATCACTGTCTTGCCTCAAATTTTCAAAATTCTTTTTCGCAAGCTCTTGTATTGAGCGTGCCTGGAAAGTAGTCATCAAAGTTCAGACAACAAACAGATAACCTCAAACAAAGTAAGAAAGGAGCTGGATCTAACTGTACCTGTCGAAAATATATGGTATCTGGGGCATTGTACTGCATCGCATTGGAGCAGATTAAGAAAATATCATCCTGCAAGATCATAAAATTGATTTTTAATTCTGATATGCCAATATTCCAGCAAAAATGGAAAATTAGATAATCATCCCTTCGTCAATGGCACCACCAAATTCTATTGCTAATGTTCAGTGGTCCAAGACAGAATTTGCTACAATGTACTCCATGAAGATACTACATACTAGAATTTCAATAGTCTGAACCAAAAGAAAGCCAAAAAATTTTAAAGAAGATGATTTTAAAGCAAAAAATAGATTTTTGGAACATACAAGGTCAACATGAAGAAAACATTGCATGACAATCAAACATGGTAAACTGTTATTGCTTAAACTAAATAAGGAGCGAATTATGCAGTTGATAACTACAAAAGCAACATGTCGGTGGCCCGAATTTCAAGGTGTGAATATTTGATAATGTCCTAGCTGAGCATCTACACATAAACTCCTAGCTGAGCATTTTCGACAAATACATCGGAAGATTGATCTTTTGATTCAGGGAAAGCAATACAGTGGAATCTTTCTTATTAGGTACAATCATGTTAACAAGTGAAGATTGAGCCATCCAATTATGCTTCACTACTGAATAGAATATTTAGTAATTAACTCTCCAAACTGAAAAGGTTCTAAGCTGGAAAAACATGAACTGTTGAAGTTAATACTCTCAAATTCCCAATGCGCATTGTATATTGACCTACTCGAATGGCATTTAACAAAGTGCAAATTTTGTGAAAGTTAGAGAAAAGTACGTACTGGACTAAGTACGCAGCTCAAAATAAAACCAAAATGAAACAAGAACGTACATAGACTAGAGCTTATAGTGTTTATTGTTTAACTAATAACTGATCAAAGTACTTCGTAACGCCACGATGAAAATGGATACTAGAAGAAAAATTAATCCAATGGTCACTTAACCAATTAAATGTAAATGACCACTAGAAGACATGCAGGATGGATTTTCAGCCGACAAACTCTGATAAGGTGGGCAACATGCTATTAAAATAACTGCAAGGAAACCTCATTCCAAATCAGGACTTCTCATAATCAACCTATTCAATTGGCATACAAAACACATCACACCAGTACAGGGTAAAATAATGGAGATCTCAAACAGATGATGCAAGAAGGACTAAAAGAAGATGATATCGGTGTAAGCTGACCTCAAACTGTTCCAAACTGGAATACACTCCACTCGTAAGTTTCTTCTTCACCGTCCCGAAATCCATAGGGTGCTCTATTACTTCATGGTAGTCCGGAAGCTGCATAACATAGAATAAAAGTTAACAAAAAAGAAATCTTTACACAAATCCTGGAGGTTAATGTGTCACCACAAGATAAACCAACCTCTTTGGGGTCCACTGGTTCAGAAAACACTCCATACGTGTCCTTCCTGAAAAAAAAATTGAAAAAACACAATCAAACATCATCCAACTCTGATGTTCTAGAAGCTACTGCAGCAAAGCAAGCATAGCACAAATCCAGAAAACCCCAAAAACACACACTTTTGGAGCCTGTCAAGAACGAACAGCAGCAACTTTTTATCAGGCAAAGGGGTAGAGGGTCCAGGGTCCAACGTTGTAGCCCCTCCTGCACATGATTAAAACCCCATTGTATACAAAACACAGCTTCCAAAATCCAAATCCCAATCCAAAAAAATCAAAATTGTTTCCAGTAAAAGCACACCTTGGAGGCTGCTTGGTGGGTTTGCAGCAGGAATTGATTTCTCACCCTGCAAAAGTGAAAAATTAAATTTGGCAACCCAAAAACAGCAAATTTATATTTTCCATTGTTGGCTGTGAAAAGGGATTCAAAGTACCCCAAAAGGGGCAAATAATACAGTTTGCCAAAGCTGTGAAATAAAAATTATAAAATTGGAAAAAAAGGACAAAAGACAAATTTAAACTTTAGCAGATGGATATGACAGTCAAATCATCATTAAGGGTTAGTAAATAAAACATGAATCTAATCAACAAAATCTAAGAAAAACACTGACAATTATGATCAAAGTTAAAAACTTTTTGGGAAATTTATGCAGCTCTGCAGAAATTCAATAAAGACCCACCAGGTCAACCCTATTTACTAAAGATTCTAGAAGAAAAACACCTGAAATAAAACATAGTTCAAGGGTGCGAAATTCAAGGAATTTTGAAATAATAATGTCAACGTATAGTTTTCCAGACCCACAGAAAAATACCGGGTTAAAAAGGAGGTATATTTTTTGGCGCTTCGAACCCGCGAAAATTAAAAAGACAATTGAAAATCTGGGCATTTCGCCCAAAGCCCCAAAATTGAAATACCTTTTGAGGGTGAGCGAGACCAGATCCATCGCCGATCGCATTGATCTTGCGCTTCCGGTCGGTTCTGTAGTCGCCGTCGTCGTCGTCATTGGACTCGGAGCCGCCGCCGTGGGAGTTCCGAGTGGCGGAATTGGCCGACGACTTCTGATTGTTGGGGGGCAATTTGAGGACCAGCTTGAGTTTTTTCTCGCGGCGCTTCCCGGCCGAAGCGTCTTCGTCTTCGTCTTCATCCTCCTCCTCGTCGTTTGAATTACCGTCGGGGTCAGGGTTGCGGCGGGTGGATCGACGGAGGGAAGCGCGGGCGGAGTCGGCAGGGGAAGTCCTGTAATTAGGGTTGGAACGAGGGGCAGGGTTGGGCTTTCGCTTCTGCTGCTGTTGCAATTGCTCCTGCTGCTCTCTGAGAGTCCGTTTTTGAAGATCCAAAAGAGAGGGCCGTCCTTTCTTCTTCTTCCTCTCCACTACCTTACCCATTTTTGGTGCCCTCTCTCTCTCTCTCTCTCTCTCTCTCTCTCTCTCTCCTCTCCTCCTCTCTCTCTAGGCAGACAACAAACAGCGTCTTATTTTTAAAAAAATTAATTATATTTATCTTTTTTACTTTATTTATGTGGGAAATTATGACTTTTGGCGACGGAAGGTGCATGCGAATCACGTGATTTACACTGCCTTCGCGTGGTGAATCGACACGTGGTGCGGGAGATGCCTGGAATGGGAGCCGTGTCAGAGGGGAACCTCCCGGTTCTGAGAACTGACTGGGTTTTTGTCTTTTTGTGTACCTACGACCGTCGACGTGGCGGAATTGCAGACGGAAGAGACAAGAGCTTTGTGAGGCGAGGTTCCAGGTTCCACAACGTGTTTTAATGTCGACTGATCTGACAAAACAATTAAGAGTGATTATAAAACATAAATAGGTTGTTTTACAAGTACGAGTAGTTTGGGTGTTATTATTGTCGCTCTAAAAATGTTTATACTGCATCCTGGTGGAAGAGTATAAAGAAATTTTTTTTTACTTAATTGACTCATAGTAATTAAATTTTGCGTAAATTTTAACAATGAAACCTGAAATGAGTTGTAAGATTGTAATTGGGAGACGATAGGGGATTCAAATGAGCTTACCAATCTTCACTATTTTCAGATACTCAAGTGACCGGCTATTTTTAAAGATTCAAGTGAGCGCGACTATCGTTATATTAACAAGAATCTAACTTGCATGTTGATTATGTTTTCGGTTGTCATTTAATGTCAAACTAGAATCTCACAGTTTTCATTGGTTATGACATTTATCTCCCATTCTTGTTTTACATGTTCCACTTCCGTTCTCAACATTTATTCTCGTTTAACTTCATGGTCTTGAGTTAATATGTACTAAAAACACAAATAGAGGATCCAAAATGCATGTAAATTTCAATTGATCATTGTAAAATGAAGCATTGCTTCTTTGGGTCTTGTTAGAACATGAATTAGACAGACATTTAAAGTACGCTTCAGACCATCTCCAAAGAAGATGTCAAATTTGAAATTTAAAATTTAAATTTAAAATTTAAATTTAAAGGCTTACATGATGCTTTGACATATTTTAAACTTTTACTCTCCAACCGATATGTCAAATTTTAAGTATAAAATAATAATTTCTATACTTTCTTTGCATTGGGAATGAAAAGAAACAAAAGGATAATGCTTTAAACTAATAAAAAATTAATAAAAAGTATTTAATAATTAATTAAAAAAAATCTGAATGTGCTGTCAAATTTGGCAGAAAGAGGGAGAGATGTCAATCCATGTCATGCCACATCAGATTTGGCTTCTTGGTTGGAAAATATTAATATTATCTTTTATTACTGTTTTTACTGATTTGGATAATTTGACATTTCTTTTGGACATGTGACACAAAATCCTCCGCAGCGAAAAAAGTTTCCTCTTTTGGAATCAAAACCTTACCGCCAATCCCACGTAAAATCCTGAAAAAGTGCAAAGCTTTACCCCCAAGAAGGCAGCTATTGACCCACGTTTCAGTGGGGCCAACTCACGACGTGGAGAGAGAAGTGAGAGATCACGATGGACCGTCCTTCAACGCAGAATCGTTGTAGATTGTAAGCGTTGAGGAACCAAAACTCTGCAAAAACGAAGTAAAAATTGTGGGGGGAAAAAAAAAAAGGCTACAAAATGTGTATAGCTGCGTTCGTGTGGCAAAATCACCCAGTTTACCCGTTCCTTCTGCTGCTCAACAGGGACGAGTTTCACAGCAGGTGAGTGTGGCAATTCTGGGTTGTTCTTAATTTTCTATTTTCTGATTGAAATTTGATGATAGATCTGATTCAATCGGGAGACTAAGCTAAAAGTAAAAGTGGGTTTTTTGGTTAATTGGTTTGGTTTGGATGGCTCTTCTGGGTTGCTTTTAATTTTATGTTTCTGATTGAATTTGAAATCAATTTATCCAATGGATTAGTGAGCTAAAACTGCAAGTGGGGTTGTTTTGATTTTGGGGTTTGTTCTTAATTTTCTGTTTTCTGATTGAATTTGATTTTATTCAATGGGGTTAGTGAGCTAAAACTACAAGTGGGTTTGTTTTGGTTTTTGGATGGCTCTTCTGGGTTGCTTTTAATTTTATGTTTCTGATTGAATTTGAAATCAGTTTATCCAATGGATTAGTCAGCTAAAACTGCAAGGGGGTTGTTTTGATTTTTGGGTTGTTCTTAATTTTCTGTTTTCTGATTGAACTTGATTTTATTCAATGGGGTTAGTAAGCTAAAACTACAAGTGGGTTTGTTTTGGTTTTTGGATGGCTCTTTTGGGTTGTTCTGAATTTTACTTTTCTGCTTGAATTTCATTTGATTTTATGGGTTGTTGTTAATTTTATAATTCCTATTTGAATTTGATTTGGTTCGATGGAGTTAATGAGCTAAAATTTCAAGTGGGTGTTGCTTTGGTTTTGGTTTTTGGAGGCCAACAGAGCCTCTGGCATGGTGGGAAGGAGGGGAGATCTTAGGGGGAAGAGATGGATTGGCAGGTGGGACATGGCTGGCTTGCACCAGAGATGGTAAGGTGGCTTTTATCACAAATGTTAGAGAAGTTCAGAAGCTTGCTCAAGCTAAAAGCAGAGGGGACCTTCCGGTTCGATTCTTGGAGGTGATTATCCTGTTTGATTTCATATGTTTTGCTTCACCCACTCTATCTGCTTGTTTGATTTTCTCTATCAGCTGTTGGCAAGAAGTTTTGTTTGCATATATTGATGGGATTTTGGGTACTTTAGTTAGTGTAATGGATTGCAAGCTGAATTCCCATGTGCAGGGAGATAATAGATGGGAAATTTGGTGGAACATTGAAGTATAGGGGTCCAATGAGCTTGTGATACACCATTTATTCTCCCGGCCGGATTTAAAGAACGCAGCCATTTAGAGCTTAAACTTAGGATTCTAGTGTCGGATTGGTTAAAAATCGATTCGTTTTCAGATTTAAGTATCATATTTTCGGCAAACCAGAAAACAAACTATAAAGGTTCAAGATTTAAGGTGTAGGTGAAAACTTATTAACTTATATGAAGTTATGGAGCAGGTTCCATCCCCCCAACCTTCTAGATTGGCAGTGAAGAAAGTACTCTACCAATTTGTGTTTACGTGGTTAATTAAGTTTTAGGTTCTTATTGATGTTATTGTTTGAGTAGGGTGAATGATTTTACTGCAATGTACTACAGAGAGCTTCAACTCTGACATGTGATTCAATTGCCAGCCAATTCTTCAGATAATATCGAAAAGGAAATTTCGTTGGTAATAATGTTCTCTTCTTATTTTTATGTTGGTTCTCTGTATGGAAGTAACGGAAGACTTGGTGCAAAACTAAGAGCAATAAGATTCGTATAGCTGACCCCACTTAACGGGATAAGGCTCTATTGTTGTTGTTGATTCTGTGTCTGATTTTCTCTAGTGAATTCAACAATCAATCAATATTTCTTGGTTTATTGCTATTCCTTTTTCTTTAAGCATAGTGATTTCCAATCTAAACTCTAAACTTTAATGTTTCATCAGACTAATTCCTTTTATTAGAGACAAGCTGAGAAATTTCCTCGGATAATTATCGCATCTTTTTGTGATTGCAGAGCAAGAAGAGTCCCATGGAGTTCGCCGATGATGTTGTGGTGGAGGCGGATCAATACAACGGGTTTAACCTGATATTGGCCGATCTTTGTTCTAGGACCATGGTTTATGTAACCAACAGACCGAAGGAGGACAGGAATTTTGTCACTGAGGTCTCTCCCGGGATCCATGTCTTGTCAAATGCACAACTAGATTCTCCTTGGCCTAAGGTGAGAAAGCTTCTTGTTCCACCTTGTTTGCTTTGAAATAGTAAAATATCGGTCCTAGGATCGGAACCTGGAACCCGACTCCGCTACCATATTAGAACGACAGCATCCAACACAACGGACCCGGAGTGGTCCTGCATCGTTTAAACTGCACTCCCAATTGTGTTTCCATCTCTATATTTTTGTTTAACTTTCGATCCCCGGGCTACAGACTTCCGAGTTATCTCGCGTATCGTTTTGATTCGGCTTCCTCTTTTGCAGGCTCAACTACTAGGCGACAGTTTCAGAGAGATACTTATGGAATCCAGCGGCGACGATCTTCCGATAAAATTAATGGTTGAAAAACTAATGACGAACACGGTTAAAGTCGAGGACGAAAGCCTCCTGCCTCACATATATCCTCCGGAACTGGAGCACCATCTCAGCTCCATATTTGTGGAGAAAGCCCCTCCGTTGGTAAATCCATATATCCATCTGCCTATGCAGCTTTTGTCTTGTGTTTCAACAGAACCTCTCAAATGCTTTGTTTTGCATATTTAGGGACACTATGGCACTCGAAGCACCTCGGCATTGTCTGTGAAGACTAATGGGGAAGTTAGCTACTACGAGAGATATCTGGAAAATCAAGTGTGGAAAGAAGGAACATTAACTTATCAGATTGGAGATGGCTGTAACTTGTAACTCTTTCAGCCTTGTAAGATTAAATTCTTGTGCTAAATTTTTACAGACTATCCAGTTTGGACTAATTGAAAGGAAAATGATTTCCGCAAATCCTTTATCGCCTTATAAATACTTCCGTTTGTTTATTTATGTCTCTCGATTCTCAGAGTTATTGTAATCTTCCAAAGGAGATTGAACCCCATTGCTTTGGTGGGATTTCAGCATCAATAATATCGATAACTGAAATTGTGAGGAGGAATAATCATCTAAAGAGGAACAAGGAGGGGAAACATAAAACACTTACAACACACTTTATTTACTTATTCTACCATTCCAAAGCTCCATAAAGCCAGTAGGGTTTATAATTACTTGATTACACGACACTATCCGTCAACCGCGATGGAACTTAACTTTAGCTGTCTAAAGCTAATCACAGCGTCTTCTTAGATACTTGGGGGTTCACGAGTCTGAACCATTAGGCTGCGCAAGAGACGCATGCGCAGCCCGCGCCACATGTGCATTTGGCCTTGCCAGCCGTGGCTGCGCTCTTGGCGCAAGTGCATGGGTTGCAGCTGCAGTGCTCGCCGCAGGAGCATGTCATGTGGTCGCCCCCGCTCGTGGGGTCGGCGGTGGTTGCGCACCTGGAAATACATACAAGTACGTAACAAAGAGTTAGATGCGTCACATTGTGAATCATAATCATCAGATCGACGAAATTATTTCGAAAACTATGGCAGAACATTTTGTTTAATTCCAAATGGAATCTAAAAACATAGTATATCTCAATTGATGTGGAATCTGCTAACCAAATTCGATATTTTCATAACCAAATATAATATCCAAAAGTCTGGTAATTTAACATACCAACTATCTGAAGGTCTTACAACATATCAGATATGCAATTTCTTAAGCAGTTACTTACTTGCAAGAGGAGCCACCGGGGCACGGATTAGGGCAGCCGCACCGGTCGTTGCAGCTGGCCTTGAGACCTCCCGCTGTGGTTGTATCTGCCATTGTTGCTTCTTGCTGTGAGATGTACTGAGAGAGCTAGCGGCTGCTAGAACTAACTGCTTCCTTTTATACTGCTTGGAAGAAGGGACATGCGTGATGCATGCCGTATTCGTTCGCACAGATAATAGATATCGTGGTGATTCGAGATTTTAGGAGAAGTGGAGGTGGCAATATTTTTCCATGCATGTATTGTAGTTGCACCACGTACACAAAACATTCAACATCCTTCTAGAGATTGGGATTTTATTGAAAAAGTGAAGAGATAATTATCATTTAAATTCAGGGGAAAATATTGTTCCTGAAAATTCCAGGCTCGTATGCGTGCTTATCTCATGCTCGCTCGAAAGTCAAAAAGTGTTTTACTCCAACTTTCTTTTCTTTAATTTGATAAATCTTTGGTATTTTTCATATTTATTTATTTTACAGTAATCTTCTACCATCTGAGTTTTTGATCTACGTAATGAAAGGAGTTATATATTTCTGTGCACTTGATAATCAATTGATAAAATTGATGGGTTAATTAACAATTATGAAAAATAAATATAAAAAAAATGCATGTATGGTGCAACAACTTGATGATCATAATTCATTAGGGGAATAATTCACCCTTTCCTTTTACTATTCTTGGAAATATTTCTAAAATTATTGTTATATCTCACAAATTTGTAGGAGAAATAGGTTTTACATTCAAAATATAGATGAGGTATTTACTTTTAATATCACCGAGACTTTTTGTTAAAATCTTACACCTAATTATTGATGGTTAAGTTGACTATAATATCTATAATGTTCTTGAAGTTTATCAAAACTTAAGCATACCTTCTCTAAAAAATAACTTGCATGCAATATTAATATGTTTATTTTTCTTATCACATGATCATCAAAAGATTTAGCGTTTGAAAAAGTCATATAAAATTGAGCAAGGAAAAGAATACAGGGTCCCATGGAGGGGCCGCTTAAGAATGTTTTTATGTGAATTTCATTGATTACACCAGCAGACAGCAGAAATTAAGCTCCACCATCTTTTTAGCTAGATTGAATTAAGCGTCTCTCTGCTGGGACCTTTGCTTTTGGGGGGCGGGGGGAGAGTGGATTCTGTGGTGGGCTGCGAGCGTTAGATATTTCACAAATATCATTGACAAAACAGTGAGAAAAGAAAAAAAAAATCATTACGTAATCGATATTTGAGGTAGTTCACATGCGCAACATCGAACTATTTACTGCGACAAAAGTTGGACCCAACTTTTAAGTGACAATCATTCAAGGGGTTGTAAAATATGAATAAATTTAAGTATAAATTATCATAAATTAAAAAATTTGATATCGTAAGTTGTTTATGCATTTGTTCACAAAATCTGATCGTATGATATATTATGAGCTAATATGTAAGATGAATAGGAAATTTTCATGCACGCATGGGCAATGAGAAGACAAAAACACATAGTTTCTAACTCGCTTTCTAGCCAAAATGATATATTAGATAAAAACATTCTGTTGAGAGATTACAAACTTCGACCCTTTGAAAATCATGTCCCAAATGTATTTGAACCATGATCTGAGTGACTCTATTTGATCCCCAAGGGAAATTCATGATCCCAACACCATAATTAGCATTCAAAAATGGTGGTGCTATCCACACACCAACTTTTACCTCTCACATATTTCTCTCAATTTTCGACCGTTGGATCAAAAGAATTGAAGAAGATCAATGAATAAAAATTAACAAAAGTAATTTGAAGTAAAAAAGATGTGTGAATAGCACTCTACTTCAAAAATTGGACCTCGAATGAACAAACCACAAACATTTCTAGGAATATTCATAAATTTCAGCATGAAATCAACTGGAGCAAATAATTAAGCAGCAACTCTGACATGTCAAATATAATAAGATAATAAAAAATCAGATTTATCTTATCATGTGTATCAGCTTGCAACTCTAGGGAAAACAAAGTTTTAAAGGAGTGCATTTTATTTTTACCCGATCTTTTTATCTCTTACCCAACTTTAATAATTTTCGTTTATTAATCATTTTTAATTCATTTAAGTTATTGATTAAAATTTAAAAAAATATGTAAAAATTAAAAACGTACGCGTAGATAGCACATCCTCAAATTTTATTGTCAATGGAAAGGGGAAAAAGGAGTCAATGGTTTACCACCGCCATCTGCAGCAGAGCTTGGTTTTGGACTTTTTGGACCCACCGTGGTCATATTTTGGTATAATTAAATCTAAATCTTTCTTTATTTTTTATTTTGCAAGCAGCCACTCCAAAGAGACTTAGCAAAATTGCAAGGCCCAAGGCCCTCTTTTGTATATAATAATAAATGTGTACTTTTGTGGTCCCCAATATTAGCTGTAGATCACAAATGTGCCATTAAAGTCGGGACTTTGGGTCATGGGTGTGGCCGATTGTCCAAGTTTCTACCAAGTACCACACAATTTGACTACAAAATGCTTAAATATGCCAACATCCGTTCATTCAATAATACTCGAAGATAAGTAAGAACATTTAAAATTTAAGAACTTTAACGAAAAATTCTTGGTACTGTTCATTTTAACGAAATATTACATTTTTACACTAAAAAGTCAATCCTGGTACTATTCACTTTACCCTTTATTTCGTCATTATTGTTAAAACTCAAAGTTTTGAAGTCATTTTCATTAATTTTCTTTTAAAAAATTTCATGTTTGAATTATAGAATTTTGCTAATGATTAAAAACATTCATTTTATGAATCATTCTGTAATATCATATTTACTAAAAATAAATTAAAACTAAGGTGGTTTAGTTAATTTATTGTAACAAATACATAAATAGTTAGTAATGTTTTTACTATTTCCGTTTATTTGTTTTTATACAGCTAGATGACCAAATGACGTTAGTTTTAAATGAGTATATATAGAGACGATCTTTATAGCATGATTTATAATATGAACGATTTTGATCATAAATACGAAGTTATATGGCGGTCTCCTTTCCAAAATCTTTAAAAAAATAAAAACCTTTTGGTTAAAATAAAGTTTTGGCAATGGCGAGGTTCCAGAATCAACATTGCTTGGCTCTTGCACGACGCACTTCTCTTAACCTGCAAATTACGGTTGGAAATGCATACATGTTAAATTATAATAAATTAATTAACAATAATAAATAGGCCCAAGAGATTCAAGATCTTTTAAGTCATTAGGACCGTTGGACATGCCACATGGATAATATATGCTATGGTTGAGAATTTCATTTAAAACTAATTGCATATAAAGTTGTATGTTGGAAATCTGACGTAACAAGTATATTCAGTGATTTTACTTCTGATTGTACCAAGTCCTCTTGTGGCATGTGATCAAGCTAACATTTGATGGACCAGACTCTGAATTTTTATCACATTGTGTAGGGATAGATGTGCTCGTGAGGTTGAATTTCCCTTCCCGCACTTTAGATAAAGGGCATGTTTACTTAATGGAATTGGGAAAATGAAGGCATTAGAGAACTAAAGATACGAGAAGTAAGAAAAAAAAATCAGATCAATTAGTCTTCCTTGATCGATATGATTTTTTATTTTTAGGTATTTGATTATGGATTTCAAGGGAACTTATCCGCCTTTTTATGTGCAAGTAAATATAGTAGAAAGTTAAACAGTGAAATGATTCCCTTACGTATATTTTAGTAAACGCAAAGAACTCAAGAATCAAAATAATTTCTATTTATTTCGTGGAAGTAAACATGCCCAATTTAAGCTTAACAAAGATTCATTTCAATATGAAAGTCGAGATACAGCCAACATAAATGACTCATTTCATGCATGAAGGAAGCATTTTGTTTAAAGAGTGAAGGGAAAGAACATCAAATCACATGACCAAAATGATTGTAAGGTAGGCGGCGATGGTGATTAACTGCATAATACAAGATTACGTCCACTACATAACAAACAATTAAGATTATGTAATCAAACTTTTGAACTTATGTTCAACAAATACTTTATGATTATTTAATCTAAATTTTATTTTTAAAAATTTTCTTTAATTTTGTATTGAGTAAAAACACAAGAACCCACTTGAAATTCCAATAGTAGCGTGAAATATGATATTTTTGGCTCTCCAACTTATGTTCAAGGCATGACGATGATGACGACTGTAAAATATGACATTTTTGACTCTCTAGCTTCTGTGTATCAAAATCTAAGTAAAATGCTTAAATAAATGCTACACTTTATTCACTTTCACAAGCTTCTAAATTCGACAACTAAATAGTGAATTCCACAGTTCAAAATACCTACCTCTTTGTCCAAGTTGTTAGTGATGATAATGACATTGGCATCCACTTTTATCCATTTTTATAAAACCCAATTTCCCAATACGTATCAGCATATTTTATAATATGTGAATTTTTAACTTTGCGTGAAAGTACCAGGCACTTAGTACTAATCTAAGTATATTCATTTTCCCTTATATGTTAGAAATCTTATATTTGATTCTCGTCAACAGTAAATTTGAACTACATTATTGCTAGCTGATTATAACGCTAAAACTCATCCATTTACTTGAGGTTGATAATATTGTTTGTAAAAAAAAAAGTGAACAAAACTGCCAATGCAAATTTCCTTCAAATGGAAAAAAAAGAAATAAACATGAACATATAGTATAAAAATTGATATCTAAATAACCTAACTAAACCCACCAAAATAAAAAAGAAAAATCAAGAAAATTACTATAAGCTCAAGCAGAGCTTACTTTATCCTCCTCCGCCGCCGCCGGCGCAGCTACCACCACCGCCACCCAGATACTCTCTGCCTCCAACTATCCCTCCTATAACAAAATAATACAAATTTCTATCATTTTTCTTTCAAATTTAATCTAGTCCAAAGCATTAGGCCCAGCGCAGGCCTTCAAAACAGGGCTCCAAATCCATTGCAACAAAAACTTCCTCCCTTTGCTTCCGTTCACATTGAACGTCCTCCCTTCCCTGTCCCTCATCACCTGCCCAATGTAACCGCCCCCGCCACCGCTCCCGTACAACCCTTCGCACAAGTCCCCAATCTCCGTCGGCGCCGTCGGATCCTCCCCAGCGTACCACGCATTCACAAGCGGGTTGGACGCAAGCTCAGCGAGCTCGTGCCCAATCACGCTGATCATCCCGTCCACGCCCACGTCCCTGTTGGGTGGGGACAGCGCCCCGGGCCCGCCGCCACCCATGTAACCGGGGATAGCGAACGGGTAGGCGC